AGTTTCCTCAGAAATTGTCTCTACTTAGCCCCTATTTGTGCTCTATTGACTGGACTAAAAATATAAAATAATATTTGGTTGAAAAAATAAGATACATACTGCATGGATTTCAAAATACCGCAATTAAGATAGGTATGTTTTTTCTCGTTCTCATGCAACCTTTCCTCCTTTCGTGTGAGCTAAAATCATGAATGATCTCTACATCTCTGCTCATCATAAGTAATCAAATTGATTCAATTTTTTATTTCAAAACACAGCGCACCCTGCTGATATTTCTTTTAATAGTAACATTCCAATATGTTCTTAGTTGTTTCAGACAGCAGTGAATCTGAAGAAACTCCGCCATCTTCTCCTAGAGGAAGTAAAACACCGCGTGTCAGCAATACTCCTAATCCAGATGATGAGAAGTCAGTCAAAATTAACATGCAACCAAAAAGACAAAAAACCAATTCTGTTTCCATAACCTACAAGTAAGTAAATATTTTCGAAAATAAGGGTTTTTTTTCCTTTCGTCTTTTCAGTTAGAGTTTTGATCTGAAAATGAGACCAAAGAACCATGAAATGAATCAGGTTTTTTCAATTTACTTCACATTCCTCCTCCTCTAGTTATAACAAAGCTTAACTCTGTAAGGGAGAGCCCTTAGGCCATAATGAAAAACGGGAGTTAAAGTTCAAACATATGAAGACAATGGGCTCGTACACAGATAAATATCTGCCAACAGTTGAGAGAGCATAGAAATTGGCCCTGCAGATGACATTGAGAGATTCCGATTTTCACATGATGATTTTATTATGCCAAAGAATGAAATGCTTGGAAGTCAGAAAGCTAGAAGTGATGACTTTGAAATTTTACTCGGTTTTTTTGTTTTTGTTTTCAAAATAGTTGATGTTTTTCTCATGTAACCAACTCATAATCCTCTGTTGGCTCCTCTTTCATGCTATTTATTTGAGTTTAATTTAAAACAGCAGGCTTTTCATCGTTTCTTTAAAGTGGCTGCTATTTTTTGTCTGTTCTTTCAATAACAGTAGGTTGATTCATCATCAATGTGCTATCCCTTGCTAAATCAATTATTTTTGTTCCAGGGATCATGAAGGTGCTGAATTACCAAAAGAAATACTTAATGAGTTGACACTTTTCCAAAGGAAACAGAAGAAGGGTACTATTGATGTGTGGTGGTTATACGATGACGGAGGTAAGCTCTGAATTTCAACTGATCTCAGTGAACATCCCTGAGATTTTTAATTAATGTATTTTATGTCAAATTTTCCAAGAAACAATCCGGTTTTTTTCAATCAATCCGGTTTTCTCTAAAATTAAATTTAAGTTAAAAAATCTCTTAAACTGAAACCTAAATGAAGGAGGTTGTCAATGTTCATGAGAAAATCCACGCATATATTCGAACGAACCCTCCACTCTTCAGAAATATTGCTAATTATATGAACAAGTTTGTCATGCTGAGTGGCAACTTGGTCAGTCTCAATATGATAATTTTTATGAAATTTTTATTGTGCTGTCAATAGGGAAAATATCATTCCATGATATAACTATAAAAAATTGTTTGCTAGAGTCTGGTGAGTCCTATTGGTAAGGCGTGAAAGGTAAGGACATAAGCGCTTATGACTAACAGGCTTCTGTTGTGGTGAAATTTGGCATTTTTTGATGAGCTTCAAACTCAGCACAGGATTAGGTACCGCTGCTGCTAGCATTTGTAAAAAATAACCATGGTCTAGAGATCTTCCCACCTTGGTCCTAGCGTGACTTTTTTAAACTCAGAGTAATTTTATCGTGTACCCAAAATATTCTTTCATTTAATCATGTAAAATCTGGATTTTTTCAGGACTGACATTGCTTCTTCCATACATCATCAGCACTCGACAACATTGGTCATCCTGCAAACTCCGTGTCTTTGCACTCGCTAACAAGAAAGACGAATTGGAATTCGAGCAACGGAAGTAAGAATTGTTGTTGTTGGCTGGTGCGAAAAGCACTAGTGTCCGAATTTTCTAATTTTGTTAAAACTAATTAAAACTGTACGTGCTTTCAAATGGCAGGATTAAATTGTGTACAAAAAAAACTTATGACAGTAATTGATTGTACAATAGAGTCCCTATTTGTCTCCAGTTCCTCATTTTGCTACAAGGAGTATTTTTTTAAAAAAAAAGACATTGAATAGTAAATTTTTTACATAAACTCTTAAAATCTCCAAGTCACCGAGTTGTGTAGTATCTTCAAAAATCATTTTAAAAGTTTAACATGCTATAATTGTCCCATGTAAAGTTTGAAAGATGAAACTCCTGAAAATTGCAGCATAATGCAGTAAAAAATACATGGCATGACATAGCTATCAGAGATATAATTGTCTAACAATTTTAATCTAATCTGTTTTTACTTTCAGTATGGCGAGTTTATTAGCAAAATTTCGAATTGATTATTCCGATCTGAAGATGATACCCAACATAATTAAAAAGCCTCAAGAAGAAACTCAAAACTTCTACAATTCTCTCATCAAGGACCTAATTGTATCAGATGAATGCAATCAGGAAAAAGAGAACAGACGTAAGTTTCTGGAGCAAAAGCATATAATTCTTGAAAGTCATTTATTTTTCATCTGAAATGATTGCACATCTTTCATTACAACAATGGAATTTCATGAAATTTCAGTTTTTACAGCAGCAAAGTAGAAAGAGGTAGGCGCATTTAAGTAAAAGGTTTCAATTCGTATGATCTTGAGTGGACACATGTGCAATAGTTTAAGACTGATGAGATATGTTGGATTGGGACATTCATATGCAAAATTAGAGGACGCTGGACTAATGGACTGAAATGAGAAGCATCATTGAGCAGAGACCACTCAGGACTCCGTCTACAGTCCGAATCAGTCAGGAAGATTTAATCCTACTGCACACAGACATATTTTGCGTGATGCTATGCACAAAACAAATCTATCTGCATTGCAACTTTCAAAAAAACCCTCTATCAGTGCGTTTCAAGCTGAATCATGTTTTTACTGCTTAACCTTCACTTATGGCATTGGTTGAGCATTGCATTCCATCAGCTAACCTCTTAGCTCCAATTCTAGGATTTGATCCATCCCTTGAACGGTTATATTCGCTTTTAAATCTGTCTGTGTAGATTGGATTCTTTATGCATAAATGCAAACAAACACTCTTTGAAGATTCATATCACCTTGGCTGTCAATGAGAAAACAAACAAGAAAAACCTATTTCTTACTTCTTGATTTTCTATTTTCTTGTTATATTTGATTTTTTAGTTCATGAACAAACCTTTTTTCTTTTTTCTCTAGTCTTAATGTTGGATGAATTTCTACAATTTTTCCACAAAACTGTGGGTTTCCTTTCGCCCTTTGAGAAAGAGTAAAATTCATGAAAATTTTGATAGAATTTGGAGTTCATATTTTTCAAGTTTCTGGACAGATATGCAGTCTAGAGAGGCAACCAGTTTCCTTTAGATTTAGATATATTGTCTCTAACTCTAAAAAGGTTGTTGTTACGAAATATGACTTTCCTTAATGTTTCAGTGACTATCTCTGAATCTGAGCTTTTGGCTATGAAAGACAAGACAACGAGGCATTTACGGTTAAGAGAACTTCTGCTAGAGCAGTCAATGGAATCAAATCTTATCGTAATGTAAGTGTTTACTAATTTTTCTGTAACTTTCACCCTTTTTTTGCTTTGCTGGTTACTGATACAATCGCATGATCATTTATACTCAAATTGTTTTTCCTAATACTCAGTTGCTTGTACTCCAGAATCATGTTATGATAATGGGTCAAAGTAGCTTCATGGAAGATTTACATTTGAATCATTATTCATTCCTGGTTTTGAGGTAAAGAGAAACGATGAGTACGTATAGAATTGCTTGAAAATTTCTTGCAGGCGAAAGATTATGCTCACATTATTGTGGATGTCTAAAATGG